CAGCAACAGCCTGAAAAGTACCTACAAATCAACAGTAGCACATCCCCTGTTTAACCCATTTAAAATACTGCTAAAAAAAGTATTTTTTAGCAGAGAATGTAACCACTGAGTCTTATTTATGCACAGAGCAGAATTAAGTAGTAGCAAAAGAACAGTAACTGCTAACTCACAACCTGGTATCTCAAAGAGAGTTTGGGAGCATTATCAGTGTTTTCCAGATGGAGAACAAACCAGCGGAGGCCCTGGACACGCTCAGGGGTCGGAGTAGCCCACGGCAACACTGGGAATGGGGATGCACCAGCTGCTGACAGTGAGACTGGGGCTCCCAGCTCATTTCAGAGTCACTGCTACCTCCTGACTGTGCTCACACCAAATCCAAACCAACTAAAGGCTCTGGGTGTCAGTGCCAGTCCCATTGAGTATCACTGCCCAAAGGGAGCATTCACAGTGCAGAGATTTTGGGTGGGCTGATGCATCCCAGCTTCAGGTGACCTCTAGGTAAGAGAAATCTTGTGTTTTCCTTAAAATATTAGATCAGCAACCCCATGAAACCTCAAATACATAGCAAAGGCACCAAAGAGAGCAGAAGGAGTGAGATTTAACCCATCAAACTTCCACTGTACTTCACCACCTGCAGCATTCCCCTTTCTGGCTTTGTAGTTTTGTTTCTACAGGAATAAGCCAGGGCTTTTCCACACAAAACCTTTTGGCATCTAAGATATATCTAGTCTGAGTCTTCATTAAAAAAACAAAACAAAAAGTCAAAAGTTATAAATTCCCCTTTTTTTGCCCCCCTTCCTTTTTTTTTCAGTGAGAACAATGAGAACGCTCCTACTATTCATCACACCTGAAAATACCATCCAGGTGGTTAAAAAGCTGCCAGGAACATAAACCCTGTTTGTCACAGGGCAACATTAAAAATCTGTCAGTGTACTCTGAAGTCATACCATCACCCTAGTTTCTCATGTACAGATTTTCCCAGGATGTTTCCACAAGGACAGCCTGGTGGCAAACCCCAGGTGATCCCTTCATGCAGTCAGTGAGTGCAGGTGAGCTGGATTTGGTGGCAACACTACAGCCAGGCATTTGTTGGGAGACCCACCATCCTGCCCAGCTGCACTGCCCAATATTTATATAAATGCTAAAATAAGCTCTCCTCCCAACTGCTCTGCAATATGAGTTTCACTTCCAAGTCCCAGGCTTAAGCTCACTCCTGAACTCCTTCCTTTCTTCACCACTTCCCTCTGTCCCATCCAGTCCTTTAAGCAGTACCACTTCCCCCACTCCACTAGGATTTATTTTTACTTCCCTCCAACATTACTGTCCTCAGCTTGTCACACGTGAGCCACAGACAGAAGCCAACATTCCTCAGCAAGGAAAGATCTCTGCAGTGCAAGCACCAGAACTGATCCAAGTGCCCTGCACACACCCTCCCCAAGCCCATAAAAGCGATCCCACAGCGACATGATAACACAGCAGCACAGGAGCATCCCATCTCCAGAGCTCAAGGGATACAATCCAATGTTTGCAGGAATTACACCACAGTTTGGTCTCCCCTGCAGACTCATGTGCAATGCACACCCGGGCTCACCTGGCCATTAGCCAAACACAAGCCCACTGGATTCAGGAAGAGGAATGGTCAAGCTCCACTGTGGAATCTGTCCAGCCATTTACCAGTTTAGCTGAAATTTAGGAAATTTAGCCTGAATTTTCATATTATTCACAAAAACCAGATGTTGCTATCTATGTCCAAGCTTCCTTATTCACTGAGGTACATTTCCACACATCCACAGGATCTGCTCAGCTCTGATGGAAGAACTCCTTGGAAAAGCCTCCGAGAGAGCCACGGCCTACATCCTCCCCTGCCTTAAAAACCTCCCAGCCAGAAACACAAAGATGTGAGGGAATTTAAAACATCTAAATACAGCAGCTTAAAATACTTCTGTGCATCTGCTTTTGAGCCTTTCAAAGACCGGGTAATCTTTACCTCTGTCTTCCCAGAGCAGTCCATGAATCCAGCTGGGAGGAGGACAAGCACCACCCCAGCTCCCCTCCCTGCACCCCAGGAAAGGCAGCACAACCCCAGCCCCCGCAGAAACTTCCTTATTACCCCAACTGTCAGTGAAGGCATCAAATTATTGCAAGGCAAGGAGGCAAAAGCTCTCAGACAGCTTTAGTCTGACAGGCTCCAGCTTCAACCCAGCGCCTGCTGTAACACACCCACAGGGAGCCATCAGGCATCTCCCGCCTTTAGCACCTTCAGACCCAAAATTACATTTATTCAGCCTTAACGTTCAACTCTGCTAAGTCACAGAAGTGACCAAGTAAGAACTGCTGTGTCTTGCCAGAGTCAAAACAGAAGCACGACCAGGGAACAGAGGGGGAATTAGTACAAATTCTCTAGTGCCTCCTGCTCTCCCAGAAATCCCAGTACTGTTGGACAGCAGGGAAGACCCACTGTCATATCCAACAACCTACACCCAACTGTGTTTAATCTTTTATAAAAACTTAATGCTGTTAGCATTCAGCAACCTATCTGCATTTCCACGCTCCTCACAACCCAACCAATGCAATATCCTGTATTTTCTTCAGTATTACTACCAATAAAAGCAGAAATCAATGATTTGCCTCATGAAACCAGAGACAACAACAAATAAAAAAAAGCTGAGATACATGTGTCACAAAATAAGATTTATCTCATATTTACTAATTTAAAGATATTATTGTTGACTGTGAGGTCTAAGTTTCTCCCATCTTTCCTGGTACATTCAACCCCACACCTACAATCCCACATGTGAGCGCTCCTGCACAAGTTTCTTCATCCTAAAACTCCCTGTCTTCTGCAAACTATCCCGTTGCAGCTTTCCCCTTCTCAGCTTCTCAGCTTCCTCCCCGCTCCTTTATGCAAAGCTGGAACACTGTCACTGCATTCTCAATCCACAGAATATTGTATTTTCAAGGCCTTGCCCACAAAGTATATGGGAAACAACCAAGCACAAAGGACACGTGCAAGAAAAACCTGGATATACAAGATGGGAACTTTGTACCCTGCTTACATAAAAAGGACCACAAGCCAATAAGCACCTGCTTGGTGTTTTAAGAAATACTAAGCATCCATGTATTTGTTCTCTACCCAATAAATAAACTGTCTTCATTCTTGGCCTCACCGTGATCAAACCAAAACTTTGGACTATGCATTTTTCTACATCTACTTTTTGCATTACAAATCAGCTTGCAAATACAGAATAACTGTTCACTGGAATTTCAGACTGCATGTCATTTCTTCCCTAGCAAATGTTTTGCCCATTACTTATTTGGTATTGTTACACACAGCCAAGCAGTGCAATTTTTTTTTTTTTTTTTCCAAAAAACTCCCAACCATGACCATGCTCCAAATCCTCCCTCCTGCATTTCTCAATACATTATCCAATTAACCACAAACTTGGCACTAGAGCAGAGTGATTGAAACATGCACTGATTCTGCCACGTTTCAGATGGGCATTATTTCACTGGAGGAACAGGAGCAAGGGAGAAAAAAGCCGCCAGAAATTTCCTTCCAAGGAACAAGACTCAAGGAACGGGATTCAAGGAATGCTATGAAAGCCAAATTCTTGAGCCAGAAGTACATCAAGGGCCTTTCTTCTAGTATGTCACTAGGGGCATCACCCTGACCACCACAAAATGCCAAAGCTTTCCTGCTGCAGGGAAGCAGGGATTGCTATGGGAGTGCAGTGGCAGCAGTGCCCTGGCTTTTACATCCCTCAGTTCCCTGTATTGCATCTTCCTGCAGAACCACCAAGCTGCTTTCCCTACGTGACTCTGATCAGCTGGGGGGGAGCAGAAATATGTTCACAGTAGCTGGAGACTCTTTTCTAGATGCCCATTTAACTACCATTATAAATAGAAAAGCACTGACTACTTTTAGGACAGAAACAAGTTCTACAGTGACCTGCACAGACAAACAAAATTAAACACTAAGACCTGATCACTAATTCCACTTCTGCTGAAGCATGTGAGCTCCTTCCCTTACTCCAAATCAGCTTGTGCTCTGGTACCATCAGACCCAACTAAAACATGCCAACAACTCCACCTGTTTCTAATTCAGTAAGAGAAGCACTACAGGATTTAAAAGCTACTCATTACTACTTAGTTTTTCAAGATTTTGTTACAGATTTTATAAGATCAATGGTTTACCCTAAACAATTAGTCACAGGCTGCCACAGAACTAATACTCAATCCTTACTTTAATCATATATGATGCAATACCAGGATGAGATTTTAAAAAACAAACAACATGAGCAAGATTTGCCTTTAGATTTTCACTCCCCAGCTTGATGGTAACAAGTTCTGCCGTTCTGGTCAAAAGCAATAAGAAACTGTACTTTTTAGCAGTGTGTGTGCCTGTCCTAAAAAGCTACAATGACATTTTGAGACTTGTGTTTATTGTCAAAATAACTACAGATAGTTTGGTAAGTTTTCAAAGGGTATTAACTTCTCCCAGTCATCCTGCAGACCCAGCTCAGATCTGAGACTCGAGCTGGACTTACTCATGCAATGCTGCTGCTGGTCACAGAGCCCAGCTGCCTCCTCTGACACTGATACATCCACACATATCCAGAAATATTAAGGAAGCTGCCGAGGAGAGCTGCCCGCTGTGCCCATGGGAACACGACGCTCTTTCCCTGTTCCCCAGCAAAATGCTGTTTTTCTGGTGAAGGTGACACCAAAAACTACAAACAAGACAGGACCACAGAACAGCAGGTTACCTTCCCACTGCTGAACTGATTCCGATCACACAACTGCTTCCAAACGGGAGACGCAGCTTTAACTCGAGGGCAACAGCATTTCTCCAGTGATTTAATTTGCATTTATTGCCACAATATTCCCTGTTTGTGAGGATCTGTTTTCTCTGTGCGCTGCAATTCCCTCCCCATCAGTTATCAGACATGGGGCCATCTTCACCCACGTGGCAAAGCTGTGCCAATTCCACAACTTCTTTGGGAAACGCAGGCAACCTTTGCTAGAGAAAGGGGTTAATGTTCAGCTCTGTGCCTTGCAGGTACAGTCTCAAGTGAAGAGCCCCGTTTGATACCTGTAGGAAGCTGCCATTTTTGCATCTCATATTCCATTTGTGAACAGCCCTTTTTGTTCTTTAGTCCAAGTTCTGAATTATTTAATCCTGTCTCCAACACTTGAAATTATCTCTTCCTATAAACAAGAGGTTATTCAGTGAAAGGAAATAAATAATTTAAAAAGTCAGACCCTAAAGTGTTCCTGGCTCTGTTTTTAATTAATATTGATACAATCTTGAGAAACCTGCTGCTTAATATCACAAGGCAGGTCGAAGCTCATCAACAGTTAAACGTCTCCTTTTAACAGAAGGTGGAAGAGGAAGTTGGGAGCTGCCGGGTGCCAGCGATCCGGGACTGCCCAGTCCCAGCTCCTCACAACTTTCCCATGCACAAAAACCAGAGCTTCAAAGCCATTAGAGCCTGAGCTCCACGAGCTGGAGCTTACAGGGCTCAGGTGGAACTGTGTTAAGCATAAATCCTTTGGGCTTTTGTCCTGGGATAGAGTGGTGGAAACACAGACGTAAGTATTTTTATTTTCTGTAATTCCACGCTCAAAATCCGCTGGTACAAATGAAGGACAGGCAGGGAGGGAGGCATGGACAGTTCTGTGGAACTGAACTTCATACCCAGTAACGAGTTTTTATAGCATATTGCTTCATCTGCAAGTGGGAGTAAATATTACACTACCTCTTCATGCAGATGGGTGGGTAAGAAAAAAAAAAGAACACAACAAAACCAAAAAGCTAATTTGAAACAAATTAACTATTCTGCATATGGATGAATGTACTTCTCTACCTCCCTGGTCACTCCAGGACTCTGCAGACAGACCGTGCGCAAAGTTAATAAACTCGGTGCTGCACAGATTGCCTGGTGAACCTGCCAACAGGTGAACAGCCTCAATCCGCAACGGGTATAAATAATCACCAGTCCTCAAAAGCAGGTAATGAATATTGTTCAAACAACTCTAAGCTGGCGTTACCAGAACGCTTCAAAGGAGAAGCTACAAGCTGTTCAAGTCAGACTGTCACATTTAGTCTGCAAAAACGAGATTAAGGTTTGCACGGTGATACTCCACAACAGGTTTTACAGTATGCACAGAAATTAAATTATGATAAAAGTGAGCTATTTTTTACCAAAAACAGAAGAGAACAATCTATCAAAATGCCATTTGGCTGCGTTCATTACATTTTAGAATTTAATTTACATGATAGATACTTTAGCATAATATGTTTTAATCAATAAGCATTTCTGAAGGCTTTATTTTTATAGGCAATATTTAGACTTGTTCACCCTTAAATGTAACACCACGGCAGTGATGTTTGGAGCATTTATTTTCCTATGCTAAGCAAGTACAACCACACATACACAGAGGCAAAAGCAAAAGTCCACAATTAGAGATGTCAGACCTTGTTTAACTACATCTTAATTTAATCCATTTTATTTTATACAATTCTACATCTGGATCTCATTTTCTGTATTCCTGTAGGTATTCTGGGTCACTATTAAGAGCCCTTTCAAGTTAGCAAAGTTCAGCCAAGTCTACCTTAATCCCAAACCTTTAAAAGAAACAATAAAACACGGAAAGGGGGTGGAAGACGACGGAGAAGCCTAAAACAAAACGCTACTTTACCCCACCTCCTAATGCACCTGAAAGTCAGAAGGGACCAGCCTCCTACCACAGATCCTACGCAGCACTTCCCGTTTTGGGGGCTGCCGGGGTGGGATTTTTAGCACCGCTCCCGCAAGCCCGGGGGGGAGAAGGGGAGGGCGGCAGGACCCGTGTCCCGCTCGCAGCCCCCCGCGGGCATCCCCTCACCTGCAGCGGGGATGCGGCTCTGCCCAGCATCAGCGCACCATCCCTCCGCCCGCCGCAGGCTCCGGCCGGCTCCGCCACCGCCTCCACGGGGGCCGCGGTGGGCAGCCGCCGGCTTTCGAGCCAATTTATTTAAACGGGAGGCAGCGGCGGGTTTGGAGAGGCAGGGCAGCGCCTTCCTGCGCCAATCAACTGGGAGACACGCGTGTTGCAATCCCATTCACGGCGGGAGCAGCACCAATTCAGCGTTTGACAACCTCCCCCCCCACACCCCCCCATAACCCGCCCCGGCCTTATCTGCACCCCGGCAGCTCTGTGAAACCCTAAATCCCCAATGGCCCCGGGGCATGCACCCCCGGGGCAGGGGGGGAGGCCGCTCCGCCAGGACTTTCCCCCGGAGGAAAAGGGCACTTCTGGGCTGTTCCGAGGCAGCACCAGCAGAAAGCATCAATATTCCGCTCATCCGTCAGCTCCTGGACAGCAGGAGAGGCTGGAGAGCCCGTGAATTATGTAACGTGCCCTCCCGCCGCCGCGGGGAGATGCGCTGCGATGCCCCGCCGGCCGGGACGCCCCTCCCCGCACCCGGCGCTGCCGCCGCTGCCCTCCCGCGAGTCCCCCCCGCTCCCCGGCGCTCGCCCCTTCCCACCCCGCCGCTCCCTCCTCCCCGGCGGGGTCCCCGGCGCGGTGCCCGCGGCGGTCGCAGGGCGGCGGCCGGAGCCCCCCGCGCCCGGCGGAGCGGAGCGGAGCGAGGGCCGGACCCCGCGGGGAGCGCCCGCCCGCCCGGCCGGCACCACAGCGCCCCCAGCCCCCGCCGCTCCGCGCCTGCACCGCCAGCCCGCCCGGCGCCCCCACACACACAAAGTCCCAGCACTCGGTAAACTTTCCCCCGGCTTCCCGGCGAGGGAAAAGCGGCGGGGGGACGCGGCGGCGGGAAGCGGGGCAAGGCGGCGGGGAGGGAGGGAGGGAAGGACGGGAGGAGGCGGGCGGGGGGATGAGCGGCGGCCGCCGGGAGTCCCGGCGCGCCCGGAGCCCCGCACGGCGCCGCCGGCGGGGGGGAGCGCGGAGCGGGGGAGAGCAGCCCGGGACGGAGCGGGCGAAGCGGCGGCGGCCCCGGCAGCGGCGGCTCCGGCGCCATCTTGGGCTGATCGATGAATTGAACAAAGAGGATCAATTTCCGATGGGGCCGGTGATCGATGGCGGGGGGGGCGGAGGGAGCGGAGCGCCGCGGCCGGGCGGAGCGGGGGGTTCCCTTTAGGCGGCGCGGGCCGGCAGCGGGAGGAGGAGGGGGAGGCCGGGCCCGAGGGAAGGCGGAGAAGGGAGGGAGGGGGGGGGTCCGGCGGCGCGGCCCGGCCGGTGCGGCGAGCGGGGGAGCCTGACCTGCAGCTGCTGTAAATCAAAGCGCTTCCAATATTGAAACATCGATCCCACATTGGCCGCCATCTTGAGACATATTGAGACAGAGTGAGCGGCTGATAGAGAGAGAGGGGCTGGAGTTCAGGAGCCGGGAGGGAGGGGGAGGGAGGGAGGGAGGGAGGGAGCCGGCGGGAGGGGGGAGGAGGGGCGGGGGGGCAAGGGGGAGGGAGGCGGGCAGGGAGCGCCCAAATCCCGGCCTGGAGCCCGCCCGGAACACGGACTCAGCCCGCGCGCTCGCGGGGGGGTGAAGGGGCGCCGCGCCCGCGCGCTCGCAGCGACCCCCCCGCAAACCTCCCCGGCCCCGCACCCGGGGGGACCCGCGGGCGGGGCGGGCGCGAGTCCCGCGGGGGCGGCGCGGGGTCCGGGCGGCGCCGGCAGCGCCAGCAGCGCGGGGGGATGCGGGGACAGCAGGGCGGTGCGGGGCCGGCCGGGCAGTGCGGGGGGATGCGGGGCAGTGCGATGCGGACAGTGCGGGGGGATGCGGGCCTGGGCGATGTGGGGGGATGCGGGGACAGCCGGGCGGCGCGGGACCGGGGGGTTGCGAGGCGGTGCGGGGGGACGCGGAGCCGCTGCGGGCGCGGTGCGGGCTCAGGGCATCGCATCGCCCCGCAAATGGTGCCCGAAACGGCAGCGGGGGGGGCGGGGGGGAGGAGTGAGCCCGCTCGGGGAGCTGCGGGGCTAAAATTAGCCAAGTGCGGAGAGTTTAGGGGAAACAACAATGAAAAAGTGCATCGGGGGCAGCCGGTTCGCGGTGTCCGGGGCGGTCCGAGAGCGCCTGGAACGGGATTTCTTTGGCGCGGACAGGCGCTCCCGGCCAGGGCCGGTGCCGCCGGCCGCTGCCGACGGGGGACGGCTCGCACGGAGGTTGGAAAATCAGATCCCAGCCCCGCGCAGGATATCCATAGAAACGGAGATTAAAAGGATGAAATAAGTTATTTTGTTCTAAACAATAATGTTGCTATAAATACGGACGTTTTCCTTGTTCCCTTCCTGAAAAGCGCAGGGCATTTTAGCAGGCTCATCTCCTAACAAAACCAACCAGTGTACGCAGCCAGGCTGCAGATACCTTGCCCCCCGCGAAAGCATTCCTTGTTTTTACTGGGAAATGGGCAAAACTGCGGTCTGTACCTGTCCCCTCTGGAATCAATAAGCCGCACGGTATTTTTCCAAATACAGCTACTTTCACTGTTTTGCACTTCATCTGTAAAAGGGAAATATATCTTCCCCCCGTAAGTGAGTGATTGTAGATTATTTCTCAAATTGTATTTGATCACCGAGTGAATTTAGTGCTCACTCAAGTCCGTGGGCTGACTGCTTGGAAATGGCTCTGTCTGTCTTTGGAGAAGTTACAGCAGACACAGCGGCAGAGCAATTGCCACAGATTATTTCCCAATCTGCTGCCGGCCTCCTTTGGAAGAGCACCATCAGTTCAGCCTCCATTTCCACTTTTTGCTGAGGCTGCTGCTTACAAAGATACTAATTGCGATGGCGGGTTTTATGTTAATGGGTTCCACGTAATGATCAGCCTGACAACTACAGACCTTCGGATTGTTAGTTGGCTGCACCGGGAATAAAACTAATGGCATTTGGTTATGAAAATGCCACCCACCACCTGGTGATGTGGACTGGGGGCCCAAGGAGACCGAAATCCAAGAGCCGTGGCTGCCGTGGGGCTGGACCCAGGGATGCCTTTGGAGAAGGAAATGCCTTTTCCTCCAGAAGTGCCAGGCTTCGAGGGAGGGCAGCTCTTTGCTGGGATGACGGTGGGGAGGTGTGGGGTGCCCGGCCGGGGTCCCCCCTGCTGCAGGGAGAGGGTTTAGGGTGCTGTGGAGTGACAGCGTCCGCAGGGATGGAGCTGCGCGAGCCTCCGAATTCTGACTAACGCCGTAACCGGTTTGGTAGCTCTAAAATAGGATTTTAATCCTGGGAAGCATCATTTCACATTCCAGTGATCTAATCAAAATCCTTTCCTCTAATCTCTCCATGGTCCCCCCTTTCTAGATGAAAGAGGCTGGAGTTCCTGTCTTCACCCTTTCTCCGCTGCCTCCCTGTTCTACCAGTCTGTTCTGTGTCCAGGCAACTGCAAAAAGACATTTCAAAGGCTCCTGCCGTGCCATGTAGATGTTTTCTCTTGTTAGTTTGGACTGCAGGTGTGTGAGCCTCAAGGATGAAGTATCGTGGTGCTGTTTTAGGTTCGGGGCACACAGTCATGGCACAATAAATCACATAGTAATGCTCGGCTTTGAACACGCGCGCACAGAAAAGGGGAAAGAAAAAAGCATCTGACCTGAATCATTTTCTGGAAACACATCTGGTTAAAATCCAAAGTTTTAAATTGAGTAATATTTTAAAATACATTTGGTAGGTATTACATTACAGTGTTATATCTGGTAATATTTATGATACTAATGTGTTAAGCGGAGGTTTATATCTGTCAAGAAATATGAATGATTGTCATATGGGCTAACAAATGTATCCTGATATAAATAACATTTTATGATATTTTTAACATTATTGTAGTCTTTCTTTTTGCAGAACTTACATTATTGCCAATTTGAAATAAAAGCTCTGTGGCTACATACCAAAGCTTTTAGCTATATAATTTTGAATAAGTATAAGCTGATTTTGGGAAGTGCTGAGAAACCTTAACTGTGCCGGGGGAGACAAACGCTGAGCACCTATAATTCCTATTGTTTCCGTGCAGGATCAAGTCCCTTATTTGCCATTTTGTGTGGCAGCAAGCCCAAGGAAATCTTGTTTGACAGCTCAGTTTTCTCAAAGTGCTGTATTTCTTCGAGCTGGATTCTGCAAAGATCCTGCAGGCTACAGAGCTCCTTGGAGCAAATGGTACTGTGCTTTGTGTTCCTGCTGAAACCTACCTGTGTAAGGTGGGAGAGGGATCTTGGAAAATTTGGTACATCCTGGCAAGAAGACGGTTAGAATAAAGTTTTCTTGGATTATTATGTTTTGAGAAATCAGTCTCATCTGCTCATTTGAGGAAGGATTTCCTAAGGTTAGATTTGATCTGTGTAAATGCTAACTTCTTTCAACGGGCACTAATAGAGTACGGAGAAAAGAAGCACAGTGGATTTGAAGTTTAAATCTAAGATGATGGTAGTGACTAATGGTACTTCAGTAACACTTGCTACATCCAAAATATTTGTAAGTATGTTGTACAGATCTCTTTTTAGAAACTAGGCAAAAATCAGATTAAAATTTGTTACCTAGTAATGTCATAAAATGTCATTAATACATATCTTTAATGAGCATATTTGCACACTGGGCCATCACTGGCAATTGGTCTTCTTGTGCTTCACATGTCGTTGTCCAGAACACTGAAGAAAATGGACCCTTATTCCAAGGGTCCCAGACTGGTTGGGAACAATTCCTTGCACAGCTGCTCCCCTGGGTAGCAGTCTGCATTCATGAAGATATTTTGGACCATGAGTCCAGTTTTGATCACTAGACTTGTGCTTCTCTTTGCCTTAATCAATCTGCCTTACTCCCTTGTCCAGGACACTGAAAGAAAAGGTGTTGCTTCCCCCAGCAGCTGTAACTTTGAATCTCTTCTCCCTGGATTCTTTTTTTCATTCTTCTCATTTTCATTTAAATTGACTCTCAAATTTCTATCTTTTCCCATGAAAGACTTCTCCTTAGAGCCTTCTCTGTACCCCTGTCTGCTCCTTGTCCAGCTCCTTCCCTCCTCACTTCCATGGCTCTCATCTTTCTTCAATTGCTTCTTGTCCCCATCAGCCTGGCTCCACATGCCTGTGGCTGCTGGAAAGGAGCTTCTCATTCCGAAATCCCATCCCTCTCCACTGTGGAAGTGTCATTCTGCTCTTAAACTGGATCTGAGAGCAAAGCTCCATCTATCCTTATTGCACTATGCCATTGCACAGTGAGGCTCCGTAGGGATGGCAGAGAACAGAGGCAGCCAAACAGATAATTTATGTTCCTAGGAGATTTAGCCCAAATTAACATCAAAACTCATATATGTCTTCCAAATCACAGATTTTTTTTCCCCTCAATTATTGTCATTGACTCCAATTCTGCTTGATTTATATGTGCTGTAGTAGCCAGAGGTTTTGCAGCATATAAATTGCCAGAGGATTTGGCTGGTGATGTGGACACAGTGACATGTGGAAGCTCAGGAAAGCCCCTGAGCAGAAAATGGTTGGAAGCTGGGAGAGTAGCAGGGAGAAGTATCCCATGTGCCTGCCCATGATTACCTGAGTGTCCAGCTGTGGTCACTCAGCTGGATGGACCCTTGTTCTCAACCAACGTGGCAATTCCCCCATTCTTTGGGAATTTGGGAAAGTTTTAGCACAAACCATGTAGATGGCAGCATACATGACCTAAGCACGAAATCCTAGGATTTCTGTACCCTGTGAGTACTGCACAGCCACAGATACACACTGGTAGGAGGAAAAGAAAGCAATTCTAACAGAGGGCAGGGAAAGCAAAGTAAATTTGGGTGGTGTGGTTACTTGCTATTTAATTCTGAAGACATTTATAAGTATCCAACATAACCCACAACAGATCTCCCTTGAGGACTTGTGGATTAACCCCTACTAACACCAACCTGTGATGGCACTGGGGGGGGTCTCTCTGCCATGGACAGCAGGAATTGTTGAAGACCCCAAAAGAGCTCCCACACTGAATATGTTTGCAACATTTCTGTCAAATTGCTGCTTTTCTCACGATATATTCCATCCAGATGCCAGGTGGTGCTTTGTCCAACACCAGTGACAGCAGTGCCATGGGCAGGCAGGGGAATTAGGGAAGGAAAGGACCAATGAGGTTATCCACTCCCTGGAGCTGGCGGTGAGTAACAGTTTGATACTGAGTTTATCTCAGGGTATGGGTCACACCAGTTTTAACTTGTAAGCACTGTCCTCACCTTCTTGTTCTTTATCCCATGCACAGGATGGTATCCAAGCTGGGATTTTGCTTGGATGGGAGGTGTGTCGAGTCCTTTTCGACTGGTCTCACCCTCCCTCCAGCTCTCTTCTCTCCATCTTAGGCTGTTTTGTTGATTTGGGAATTTATCTTCTCTGTCCTTTAAAGGGATCAAAAGACAAGTTAGTAGGTTATGTTCCCCAGCAAAATTCCCACCTCTTTTCTCACTTGGAACCTTTCAAGTATTTTTTACCTTTCACTGGTTTCTATTAGGGTTCTGGGGTTTACACATCATTTTTTTTGGTGGTATTTAACTCTTGCTATTCCTGTCATGAACTCTCACCCACTTCATGCAGCCACTTCCTCACTTCAGGTTCCTGCTCTTCCCATCTCTCCCTCCCTGCTCAGATCCATTTTGGCTCTGTGTTCTCCACCAATAACTGTCCCAGCCAAGTATTTCTCCCACTTTCTACTCAGTCTTCAGGTCCAATATTCCACATATTACTTTAGAATAAGAAGCTGAAACCAACATTATTAGTTTAAATCCCTTTTTATGTTCTGAAGCTCACCTGTGCTGATTATATTTCTTTGTGCTGCTCACCCCATGGCAGGAGAGCTGGTTTAGTGACAGTGGTTCGGGAGCTGCAGTTGGGTGCTGTCACAGGGCTTTTCATGGTGTGAAACAACTCACTGGATCCTCCCTCGGTTCCTCCATTCTGTACAGCACCACTGGTCACTGGGAGATCAAAATCTCATGGTGACTGTTGGGGTTGCAGAAGAGGGAAACTGCAAGGAGGAGATGGAGGGAAATGTGTAACTAAAGCAGCCCAGAGCTGCTCCCTCACCTCCAGTTCCCCTTTCATTCCCTTCCGGACAGGGCCCATACATTGAGTGCAAAGCTGAGCCGCCCTGGAGAAAGCAAAAGAAAGGTTTTCCTTTCACTTTCCAATCACAAACGCTTCGTGTGGGTCAGAAGGAGGGAACATCCCTCTGCTCCTTTCCTCTAGCTGGGTTTTTTGGTCCCCTTCTCCCAAGCCCAGGGTGGTCGCCCCCATCGTGGCGGGTCCCCCGTGGGTGCTGCCCGTGCCCGGGGTGCTCGGCCCCGGCTCTGGCACAAGGGCAGAGGCGGCTGTGCCTGGGCCCTGTTGCAACATACAGGGAGGGGAGAGGAGAGGCAGAGGGTGGAAGGATGGGGAGACAGGTGTGTGCAGAGATGGGCAGATCCCAGGACAGCCTGGCTGTGCTGCTCCGTGGGACCCCAACCCTGAGCAGAGCGCCCCCAGCTCCACAGAGCCACAGAGCACCCGGGAAGCCTGGATTGGAGTGTTTGGGATGTTTGAGGTGGCTGTTCTTCCAATAATGAGTGTGAGATGTCGTTTTGGGAAGCACATCTTTTCTTAGAAACACAACTGTGACTGACTGAGCACAACTGTGATTTTCTGCAAACACAACTGTGTTTGGGGTTGTTGCATGTGAATGCTCGGGAAGGAGAAACAGTAATTCTGGATTAATGCAGAAAGGGAGAAAACAGACACCCTTAGAGGAAGCCCTAAGTTCACTGCAGCTGCCACACGCTGGCAAATCCAGTGCTGCACCCCACAGGAAATATTTTAGTGTGGAGAACCTCCTATTTGAAGAGAGATACCAGGGGTCTGTCATGACACACACAAATGAACCAAAGTGCTTGGGGTAGCACATCAACCCTCTATTTCTTCCGTAACATATATGAAATAAATTGGTTCTTTTTCCCCTGTTGTTGCATCATTTCCTATTTGGTGTCTGGCTGGTGACAGATTATCAAATAGGGGAGAAAAAAAAATTTCTATAATTTTTTATATCTAAACATCACCTTCTTCTTTGGATAAAGAGATCCAGTCTTAATCTGGCCATGATTCTCCACATTTATGTGCTGGTCTTGTCTGCATCTGCTTGGCATTATCCTGGATTGGGGCTTTAACCTGCTACGAATCCAAAGAAATTATACGGAATTGATGGGATCACTATGAAATTCCAGGGGTGTAGGCTAGTGCAGACCATATTCTATTAATCTTATTGTGTTCTTTCTGTAAATAACAAGCTGCATTTGGCCCAACAAGAGTAAAACAAATTGAAAGCATTCATAAAGAGAAGTAAATGGGTTTAAGATGTAAGAGTAATGTATTGGTGGGTTGTCTCCAAGAATCCAGTTTTTAAAAGTACCAAAGCACATACAAAACTTTAGTTTAATTTGTTTTAAAGTGCCTGCTGTGTGGGGCTGGCTGCTGAACCAGGGCCATAGGCATAAGACCTGCTTTCATGAAAGGATTAAAAAAAAAAATTAAAAACTGCAAGGAGAAGAACGTTCAAGGGCAGCCAACCTGGAGGAAACAAATATAATTTAGTTATGTGAAGTGTTTATAAATGCCGTTTATGAACATGTATGAAAAAGTAATTTTTTACTTTTCAGACTGCAAATGTCACACAGAAAAGAAACAATTGCTTATTTGTCCTTTTCAAGGATTTTTAGAGAATACATTGCAGTTTGGCTGTTTATTTTGACCTGCTTTTTCCTTTTTAATAGCTTATTATTCTGTTGATTATTTCAGATTAGCTCTTTTTGTGTGCTCTCCCTTATTTGTGATTGATAGGGAAGCATTTACCTGGCTTATCTGAAAGTGGGAATTGATTTTAAATTTTGTTTAAAGTTTCAGACTTTCTTTTCACATACATGGGCTACCAAATTTGATCTATAAATCTCACTTTTTATGTCTCTTGCATCATCAGAATAAATGTGAAATGACACAGAATGCCTGGAATTGCAATAATGCCATGTAACAGAACTGACTATCAAGCTGCATATATAGATTAGATTAACGCATAAATCTAATCTGATATTTTACATTACTGGGCTAATATTTTACAGATGTAATGCCAAGTTGTTAAGTAAATGAAAATCACAGAGAGTCCAATTCTGAAAGGATTACTCAGGCAAAAATCCCTGAAGTCAAAGGGAGTATTGCCTGAATGAAGTCTGCAAAATTAGAACTAGAGCCATATTCCCCAAACAGACAAGCAGATTTATCTTCCAGATCTGCCCAGGAGTTGAATTCTTGTAACAATGAAAGATATATAGAGAAAACGAACAAGTAGGTAACCTGAAATATAAGGAGAGACTGATAAGATCACAACAACCCTGAGCAAGCATTTGTGCGGTTGGTGATGTCAACAGGAGCCCAAGTTGTTTTAATAAACTTGTTCATAGTTGTCCTATACTGTGTTTTATATTCTGAAGTACATAGATCACGTAAGAGTTTAACAAGAAGAGCATTCATATTAAATTTGCACATAAAATACCTCCATGAAATATGTGAAATGCTTTTCTTTTTTATACGATTCCAATAAAACATCGATCATAAAAAGTCTGCCCTCCTGCTTCTTCGTATCCAGTTTCAGCTGTTGCTTTGTGTTTAAAGTTGGAATCCGTGACACTCAGCAGATATCATTGTGGGGCAGTTTTAATTGGTGAAGAAAGACCCTGGCTCTGTTTGCTCACTCGGGGGGGATAAATCAGGAGAAACCCCAGCAGAGCTGGTGAAATGTTGCCTCTCTGTGAGGGGCTGTGGGGCCAAGTGATAGAAACGGTTCCAGCTCCTGTTTACAGCTGCTCAGGATCTGGCCCACTGACTTGGATGGAGCCAAGCCAGGGATGATTTCTGCCCTTTATCATGAGTTTGCTCAGTGTTTTGCACTGTCAATTCTCCTGACTCTTGCTGCCAAACTCGGCTCCCTTCTTCACAGTTTCGTACAGTGTGAACTGATACTGGTGGAAATCCAAGGGTAAAAAAGCGATGAGTATAAAGCACAGATCTGTAGCCTGGATCTGAGAGGAACAGCTTGACCACAGAGGAAGTTATTTGCACAAAAAGTATTCAAACAGATATGCACGGTTTACATGTGTTTAGTAAATCTTGTCTGAAAACTAGAACCAGCTGGATGGTGTGTGGAGGCCCCGGTCCCAGCCCCTCCTGAGCAACGTTTCATACGTGTGCACGATACACTTCAAGTCACTTTTTCCATTTTTTAATTTGGGGGCTGCTGGGGACTGAAGTATGAGGAGACCGATTTCCATTTCGGTCTATAGTGGATGTCAGCATCCTCAGGATGACATTCCCATCACAACCCCTTCCCTCCACCTGCAGCCCAGAAGCAGAGGCAGGGAGGGTATAAACCCCCTGTGGTAGCTCAGGGGCACGAAGGGAGCTTTTCGTGCCGGGCTTATCCTGCCGTGTTCATGTGAGGGCAACAAGCAGAATCCTTAAGGACAATTATCCCAGGAGGGCAACAAGCAGTATCCTTAAGGACAATTATCCCAGGGTGATTACCCTACTTAAGGACAGCAAAATCCACTCTCGGTTCACTCCCAAGCCAGAGGAGAACCAGGCCTGAAAGCTAAATTTTCATGCCAGATTAAGAAAGTTGTAGATGCAAGCAAGATCTTTTTCCTTTTTTCCCCCTTCTTTTTGTGTGTGTGTGTGTGTCTAACTATGCAACAAATTTTGTAGCTGAGATTTACATACTTCTTGATTCATGAAATTATGAGCAGCTGCTATTTTGCTACATTCTTAAATTGAAAAGGCAGCGAAGAAAAGAACAGACACATTAGGCAAACTCCATCTGCCCCTCATGTCTATCACTTCCCTTCACTCTCTCCTTTGCCAAACAGGATACAATGGCATAATCAGATGTCTTGGTTTGCCTGGGAGAGTCCCCAAATTCATATAGCTGTCGTCTAAGATGGGATTTTTGTTTTTCAGACAACTTCTTAACATGGGCTCTTGTTCCTCCTGAAACGTGGATACATATTTACAGAGGAAACCGCGGAACACAAAGGATCTTCAGGGAGAGAAGAACCTTCCAAATGGCTCACAGGGTTTTGGAGGCTCCTGGAAGTCTTCAGACATCTATTCTTAGGGATCTTAGGATCATGTAGATATAAGATTTTGCTTCCATCTTTTTATTCAAACTACAGCATGGAAAGATTTTGGGGTGAGAGGGTAAAATACAGGATTCATGATTAGAACAGGTGGGGTTTATCTCGAGCTTTTGCTATGAACCTCTGAACAAATCCAATCTACAGGTAGTTCCATGCTTGGAGAAAAGAGTTATTTAAGCTCTTTGGAGAAGAGAACTTCTGTCTCTGGCATAGTGGAAAACAGTCTGGTCCAGTGGTCTTCACGCTATATGCCACTCTACAGATAATAACACTATATTTCACCATGATGTAAATGTTTTAATTTTCCATTTTTGAACTCAAAGGTGGAAGCTCAGAATTTTAAACCTATTTAACACCTGGTTAAACACTTAACAAACTAGTCACAGCTGAGTGCATCCCTGTTAAGTGGAGTTTTTTTCTTTTTGTTGCCCCACTTAAGAAACAGTCATTGTCATTCAGTCTCATTAACATAAATAGGTTCCCTAGGAGATGTCCCATTAAAGTGGCCATCCCTATTAAGCATGTCCCAATTAAGTAGTGTTTATTGTATGGCAGGTTCCAGACCTCAAAGCAGAATAATTTTCAGTTCCTAGAGGGGAAAAAAATAAGTCAAAGAAATTACATATTTAAAAAAGTCTTAAATTGATACAAACTGATAAGAGCCCAAAAATGAAAAATGAGGGCTGACACTTCAGCCTTTTGTTTACCCTGTAATGCTGCTTTTCTGGTTTTGAGTTAAGAATGTAGCCTACACCCTAACTATGAATTTCTTGGCTTTGATTTGATTGTGTCATAACTTAATGTTTTATGACTT